AGCAAAGAAAGATCAATTGAAAGCCCAGTCCCCCACCCCAAGTCTCAAAGAATTTTACAGGCCTATGAATTGGGTCTGTTTTGTATCACCTTCTGAGATGTGTCCGTGTAATATATTGTTGAAGCTCTTGAGCAAAGTTTAGCCTAGTGTTGGATACGGCTCCTTACCAGGCTGAAATGTTGCTTTTTAAAAAAAATACATTGAGTTTATTTGAGGATAGCAACATTGCTAATGCTCCCTTTCAGTTAGCTCACGTAGGCTGCTCACCCGGTCAACAATATTTTTAAGGAAGAGTTTTGAAACTGTGTCTACTATCAGATGAACTGAGCAGACCAGGTGAGTCCACACACTTCTCAAGGAGCTAAAAGATGGGCTTCCCTCCCCCGCCCCAATCACTACACACCTCAGCACAGGTTAGCAAACTAGATTAGTGAGGATCGGAGCAAGGTTAAAGAGCAGCATTACTGCAGTACAGACCTCAGCAAGCAAAAACGAACCTTGCTGTGTAGGTACATGGGATTTACACACCATGTGTTCTAGATGGGCTTTTACATGATGGGCATCGGACCTTCTTTCTCTTGTATCTAAGAAGCTATTCTTCCCCCGTAAGGTGCCACAGCGCTGTGCTTTTACTTGAAAGCAAATCTAGAACAGATTAAATATAAAAGGGGAAAAAAAGCCCTTCCCTAAAAAAGCTGTTTTCAGGTTTTTTTTTTTTCTTTTCATAAATGAGGGGCAGTGATGATGATGGGGATACAGGATCAGAAAATGGACATCCACAGCTAAAGCTTTGTCATCTACTGACCTGTGGCATGATGGCAACCCTCTGGAAGACAGACAGTGGTGAAACATCATCAGCTATTCATTGGGATAAGGCTTAGATAAAGAAGCAGCATCTAACGCTGCCCAGCAGGTATCCTAGTGAATACATTTCGAGAGCCCTTGCACATTGCATTCTGCCATTAAAAGCCAAGAGATGCCTAGACAAATTCCCCTGGGTTCCTTTGGGGAGGCTGACACCGAATTTGTCAGCCAGAATTTTAGTTATCGACTAAACGGCTATACTCCAGAAGCGTAAGATGAATAAGTAGCTATGGTGAACTTTGAAGCCTGCAGGTCAAAGTTCTCTCTCATTATCCCCACCATTTTCTATTGGCATAGCTCCTCAGCATCTCAAGGGACTGGAAGGTTTGAGGCTCTTGAAAAAAACCTGACATGACCAAGTCAGAAAACAGTAGGGTGCTTATGTACATATATTTTTCTTTCCCCATTTTTCTTTCCCCCCACTTTCTTGAAAAGGAAGAAAATGAATTTAGCTATTGTGTCAAACGTCAACCCAGTGGCATTAGTAGTTACTCATTTAGCTGGCAGAATACAGCAGTCATTTCAACATGCTGCCCTGCCAAACAGGCCTGACCCTTCCAGGGACACCTCCTCTGTAAGAAAGGTACTAATATTTTTCACTCCCCATCCCAAAACCTTTCATTTTGTAGCCAGTCCTTTCAAGGAGGATGACAGTACTGATTTCTGCAATACGCACACATTATATTAAAAACACTGCCTTCACGCCTGAGCCGCCACTGAATGCATCTGACAGAGACAACTGATCTACCTCTGGCCAAATCTCAAGCAATATTTAATACAGTGCTCACTATCAGCCATTAAATATTGTAACAGGTTCTTCCAATGCAGGTGTTATATTCTGACTCAAACCACAGCCTGGAAAGACCAAATTATCTTCTAAATTTACTTCTTCTGCCACCACTAGAGGCCAGCCCACCTTTCGCTTCACAGAATTACAACTGCAAAATTCTGTCTAACCAAAATGATCTGCATACTTGAGATAACCCAAATCTAACTATCAGGTCAGATTAGAGCTAGGCTTTTCATGAGTTTAGGAAACTGACTTTACATGGTTAACAAAAGTTCTTTTCTTCCATGCTATTTAATGGGAAGGTTAGTAGGAATGAGGTCCTGATTTTTCAAAACAATGTAAGAAATTATCCCAAACAGCAATGCAAACACAGTATTAAAAATTCATCAGTTTCTTTGGCTTTCTGTGAAAAAAGCAACAAGCAGTTACAGCTAAAACTAGCAAAACCAAACCAGAAATACATTATCAGAGTCCTGTTTGGGGAAAAACCCATTCACTTGGCCATACCCAAGAGGAAATTCTGACTCTCCTGCCTACAAAGTTTTATACACACTGTATGAGGAGTGCAATTGAATTCAAGTATCTGGTCCTGCCTCTTCCTCCCACTGTGGTTTGCACAGGGCAGAGAAGATGCTACTCACATACTGCTGCCTGATGGGTGACAAATGCTCTGCAGGGTATATTAACAATAGTTAATTGACAATAAATAGTTCATTGACAGTATGGAAACACATTGCAGAAGCAGTGCAGTGACGCCCTGAAGGCTAAAGACAACAGAAACAAAGCATTAAACCAGCATTGTTTATAATACAAATCATGTCATAGATTTTAACACAAATGAGCAGAACCCTAGATACTCGTAGAGAGTGGATTCAGTAAAGGTGTCTCAAGAATATGACGTTTTCCCCAGCAGCTTCTTGTCAGCTAGGAGCTGAGCATGGTCCCTCACCACTACCTACCCACATATACCCAAGGGAAAAGTAGTACGTTACAAAGCTCTCCAATCTACGCAAGGAGGTCTGAGCAAATGGAAATACTGAAAGGGATAGAGGGAAACAATTACAGGCTAGTAATTACTTCTTTAAATGGATTCTCGCTAATCTCCAATGGATTTACCTCTAATCTCAAAGTAATTACCTCTAATCTCAATGGATTCTCACTCTGGGGGAGACTAAGCAGCTCCAGGGAAGCCTACAGAGAAGTAGTACTCTATTGTCTGCAAGAGGCAATGAAAAACTAACACGTGCACAGCAACTGCCAGGAACAATAGAGCACTTCTACAAAGCGAGGAAGGGACTTGGGTGCAGACAATGGCAGCTTGTCTCCTCCTTGCTTGATGACCCAGAGTTGGCCAACACATGCGGGAGCTCCATGATGGCTGTCTCAAAGGCATGCAGTATTTGTGCTTCCCTTCTGTGAGCAACACCAATACACAGTTCAGGTATTTCAGGACTACTTCATGGCAGAATTCCCCAAATTTAAAAGCACTAAGAGTGGCCAAAGAGGACAGACAGACTTGTACAGTTTCACAAAAAGAACAGTGAAAACCTTGCTCCAGAACACAAGGGCTGAGGGACAAGATTTCTGATGGAACGCAGAAATGCCTTGAAGCTATGTCATCTAACTTATTAAATAATTTTTAAAAGAGACATGGATGTAGCATCAGAAACTATAGCAAAGCATTATTATGGCAGGATCTCAGACTATGAAATCTTGTGTCAAGCCAGAGAAAGTGCTAATATTCAGCAGACAGGGAATAGCAAGTTGGTGCAAGCACAGCATTGGTGGGGCCACACTCCACAGACACCACCCATCTAAAGCCTAAGTTTCCTGCCAGTTCCATGTGCAGGTCTATAAGCCCCAGAGCATATCTACGGAACCGCATCTCATTGAAAGCTTGATTTTTCACTCCTGAATGAAAAATTGCCCAGGAGCTCAAAATGACACCAACAGGTTTAGAAACAACTGGCCGCCCTCCAATTTTCATATGTGGTATAATGATAAAATATAAGACCAGATACGATTCTAAAAATCTTGGTGAGGGTCACACCATGTTTTTTGTATTTTACCATTGCCTATACTACAGAGAAAGTGAAGGAGCTGGGAATCCTCTGGGAGTTTCAAGATCTGGAGTCTCCACATTGGCTCTGTCTTTTCAACTGCTCTGGCATGGAATGAGCTCTGACAAATCTCACCTTTCCTCCTGCTGGCGTGGCTGGGGCAGATGGCGTGGGCTAGTTCTGAGTCAGATCACTGTGCTCCTTCCACCCCCAAAACCGTACCTAGGATTGTGCTACACATACCAAGAGGGACAGACAAGATACTTGAGCAGAGACAACGGTAGATGCCTTATGGCACATATTTTAATAGGTATGCCATTTTCAAAAGGCTGCTCAAAATTACTTCTGAATAAACCATAACCACTGCACACTGACAAATACCAGAAAATTTCCTCACTCTTTACTGCATCTAGGACACTTTTTCTTATAAAATGTTTCTCTTTTTTAATCCTGGGATCGACAACAAGTCTGTAAAGGCTTAAACTGTTTCAGCTGCCTCTTGGGATGCAAGGGAACCCCAGTCCCAGGGGATTCAAAGGAGCTTGACTGCACTGTTCTGGTTTCGGCTAGGACAGAGTTAAATCTCTTTCTTGTAGCTGGTATAGTGCTGTGTTTGGGATTTAGGATGAGAATAATGTTGATAACACAGGGATGTTTTAGTTATTGCTGAGCAGGACTTACACAGAGTCAAGGCCTTTTCTGCTCCTCACACCACCCCACCAGCGAGGAGGCTGGGGGTGCACAAGAAGCTGGGAGTGGACATGGCTGGGACAGCTGACTGCAGCTGACCAAAGGGATATCCCATACCATATGATGTCATGCTTAGCATATAAACTAGGGGAAAGCTGGCTGGGGGTCTGCTGCTCAGGAGCTAGCTGGGCATCAGTCAGCGGGTGGTGAGCAACTGCAATGTGCATCACTTGTTTTGTATATTCTTTTATCATTATTATTAATTTTCTGTCCTATTAAATTGTCTGTATCTCAACCCACGAGTTTTACCTTTTTTTTTTCCCCCCGATTCTCCCTCCCAGTGCACTGCGGGGGGAGTGAGTGAACAGCTGTGTGGTGTTTGGCTGCCTGCTGGGTTAAACCACAACACTGTACTCAGAGTTGCACCAGGGAATTTTATTTCAGATTATGCCTTTTTGAGAGGGAGGGGAATGAAGAGAAAGCAAGAAGTTCCTCCACCAAAGAGGGCTCATCAAAAACATGCCAGGATGAACTCGCTAACACTGCTTTATCAGAGCCTCGTGTTGCTGAACATTCAGAGAGCACGGTGTACTTACATGTAAACTAGGATGGTAGGTCAGCACACCGTTGTCGCACAACGTCACGTATTTCTTCTTCCACTCTTTATTCAACGACTTGCCACTTCGCTTTAGCAGCATACCCTATTAGAGGAAAAAAGAAAAGAGATTAAACACCCTTTTGCCAACGTACAACTATTTAAGTTGCAGAAAGAGATAAATATAACTGCCAACATTTTTAGATACGGTCTCTCCTGCAAGTTACTCATTTTCCCATGATGCACGTTTTCTCCATCAGCAGCTTCAGTGTTTGTAATTTAGGAGGAAAATCTCTAAGTGCGGCTTTCATAAAGCAAGTCATGTAAACAGAAAAGACTGTTATCAACACTGGCTTTGTCCAACAGGTAGAGAAAACCCCTTTTGGACTGAATTCCATGCCTCAGGAAACCACATTTTAATGCGACACGGAGTAAGGTTACCCATATGCACTCCTAGTTGATAAAGACACCACACTCAGAGCATTTCCTAGCCCTCTAAAATAAATCATGAGTCTCAGGTTGAGTGAGGATCCTACTGTATGGCTTGTGCTCCCTTCAGCGTGTTCCTGGGGATTCCCTGGTGTCCATGCTCAGCCTCTCCACAAGCAGGGAAGAGCACATGTTTATGTTCTTATTCCCTTTGCAGTAAGGTGACACCGCAATGGAAACCCTCCTAGCTATTCATTCCAGCAAGAGAGACACCAATTCCAAGCAAGAGCAGCAAAATGGAAACAGGGCAAATACAAAGTTTTTCCAATAAGTTCTGGATAATTTAATGAAAGAGGTGTGATCAGAGAGGAAAGGAAGTGGGCAAGGTGACTCACCTTTCCACAAATCCTATTCAACATAAACATCAGTGATGAATGCTAACAATCAACAGCTGAGATAAAAAGTCATCATAGTGTTCAAATGGACAAGGACTACTACTGCATATTAACCTGTTCTCAGCTTAAAAATAGAAAGTCACTTAGAAAAGCAAAATATAACATGCTGTAGCACACTGAAGGTGGTAAATCAAGCCATGCTTTAGCAATGCACTTCCCTAGGAAATTTTAATTTCCAAAACCAAGGCAGAAGGCAGTTCCTAATGAATTCATACAGTACTTTGGTTACTGAAAGTCTTACTGAAATGTCCTGGTGGAGATACTAGGTACAGTACCCACCACAGGGACTCACTAGTTCCACAGATCAAGTTCTGATAAAACCAGATACTTATATTCATTTCCTTAAATCATAACCAGGAATCTAAACCAATACAAACTTCAGTTCTCTAATCCCCATAAAATGAGTCTTCCATTCTCATTTTCTATGGAACTTAAAAAAAAATGGGAAAACAGAACGTAGAAAGATGCACTACCAAGCATGGTGCTTCCAACTCCCATGGAGCTGTTTTGCTAAAGCAAGTTAAAACCTTGAAAGCAAGTTATGTTATCTGTTTTTCCATGAAACCTGCAGCTTTATAAAGTGATCCCTGCAGACCCAATCCCAAAGCCACGAGGGGACAAGGCGCAGTTCTGCATGAGCAGAAGTCCTCCAGAGCTAGGCAAATTTTTTTTTCTCCCTCCATTCCAGATAACTTTTCGCTGAAGTCCCTTGCCACAATCCACATGAACTAACAACTCTCCTTTTGCGGCCACAGAGATGATCCCAGCAGAAAAGCCAAGTTCACAACCGCCTGTTTGTGGACACACATGTTGAATAAAACTTCAGAGAACAACCCTTCGTGATTCAAAGCAATCTGTGGATGGGACCATAAAGAAAAGCTTGTGCGGATGACTGAATTACACAGTGTTACAAACTCTGAACTTTCTGACCGTCTGGGGGTCAGATTGCTTTTTTTTTTTTGCTGTTCCTTGCTACAACTCAAACTTTTACAAGAGAGAACAGGGTTTCTGAAACGCTTTCTTACAAAAGCTTCTGCGAGTGTGAGTCGCACATCCCAATTACCGTCTTCCAGTGGTTAGAGACGTTGTTTTCTTCTGTTAAAAAATGAAAGCTTATTTCTGCCTTTGACTTGTATGTTTGTCTATAGTAGGTGATCTGTCGCTTCACCTTTCCAATCTTTCATACCTCACCTGCAGCACGTTCGCTTGCGTGTAGGGGCACCCAATTCTAGTTATCGCTGTGCTGTGGGGATCAAAAATTACTGTTCCCTGCACTGGTCTGTTTTTCAGACCTTTTAAAGGGGAAAAAGCTGTAAGGATCACAACGGCGATTTCCGCCCCCCCCCCCCTTCCCTTTTTTTTAAATTTTGAAAAAAGAAAAATATATTTTTTTTAC